AGGGCAGGCCCGGGGCCAGGCTCCCCCTCGGGCGTGCCCAGCCGCACCCGGGCTTCTCCGGGAGCGTCACCACGGGCGCCTTTCCGTGCCTCCGCTCACCCCGCTGCCGCCAAGGGCCCGGGAGCAGCCTCCAGGCGACATGTGTGTTCCCATCCTCCTCCTCCCCCAGCTGGTGGGCCTCCAGGAGGGACACGAAGGCACGGGCCTGGCCTTGGGCACCACCAGCCTGGGAAGACACCTACAGAAGGGGCAGGCGGTACAGGTGCAGGCAGCTGTAGGGGCACAGGAGGCACGGGTCAGGACAAAGAGAGTTGTCAGGAGAAGTCTGGACAGCCTGACCGGGAGACACCATGCCCAGGCCGGGGAAGCACCATTGCTGGTGTGCGAGGAGGTACAGCAGGGAGCTGGCCCACTGGTGTAAGACTTTATGACCAGTTCTTGCTCAAAAGCATTTGGGCTCTTAAAAGACCATGTCAGCCTTCAGTGTCTCAGACTTCGCTGCCAAGAACTCCACTGAGGAACTGCTCTCACTTCACCCAAAATTCCTAGGGTGTTTTAAAACACCCCTTCCCCATCAGCTTTAGCACACACCTTCAGGCCTTACCTCCATGCAGCTCCTGCACTTGGCATGTGCCAACAGATCAGGTGCAGGAACATTTCCCCCATCCCATGCTGTGTCACCTGAATGAACCCACACAGCATTCGCTGATACCACGAGAAGCCCAATCTTCAGAGACAGGCTTATCCTATATATTCTGGTCAGCAGCTGTCCACCCTAGCAGGAAAGACGCTATTACTTGCCAAGCAAAGAAACAAAGAGAAGTGACAAAGCCGCTCAGTTAGATGACTTAATATTTCCCTATTACTTAATTTTACCTCCATAGAAAGCTCCATCTGTAACCAAACCACCTCCTTCCAGCATCCCCAAACCAAAGCTGGACAAGTCTCTAAAGACCTTGAAAATTTACATATGGGAAACACAGCAGGTACTGGACAGAAATATGAAGTACAAGATGGGAATTCATAAGAATAGTCACTACAATATCAAAGTACATTAAAAAATTTTAACTTCTTTTTTTTTTGAACGCTAGCTTTAGTGGTTCATAACATCCAGAGAAAAGGAGAAAAAAAAAATTATGAGGGAACCCTAGTCAGCAAGCTTCGAGAAGAGATGAATAGTTATACTACAGCACTCCTTCATAGATTTATGTCCCAAGAAAAGCAGAATTTTCCTTTATCCATGCCAGATACCAGGCTAGCAGGTTTGGTGACTTAAAGCAGAACACTCTTCAGCAGCACTTTGCATCACGTGGGCTGGTGTGCCTGTCCTTGGATGCAGCCCCGGGCAGGACGCTGACAAGATCTCTCTACACCCTTGGGAGTTCGCACGCTCCGTTTTCTTGACTAACCACCACAAGCAGCTTAACTTAGTGTTCCCACTGACTCCAACCTGCTCAACAGGGTCCTCCATGCCTGACAGAGGCCCCTTTGGCAATGTGCTACTGAGAGCGGCGGGGAGGAAAAGGCTGCGGTGCCTCTGGGTTTGCCATCACAAGCCGAGCTCACATGGGTTACAGTCTGGCAGCAAATTCATTCCTACAACCTATCTACCTCAAATGGAAGATGTCACTGACATGCACCTCTTGGAGGAAAAAAAATTATAAAGTACACAATTACCTTTTTCTATCCATACTTTATTGCAGGTGTACATATAATTATTTATATTTCTTTTTAAACAAGAAATTCCTTTCATGGAAAGGAGAAACTTTAACCATTAAAATAGAGTGATTATACCACGAGTATTTTACAAATATGTACAAATATTGGCAGCTAGTTTCTAACATCAGCTAATAAATGCTTACACATTTCCCTCTACCAAACTAATCAAAACCAAAAATAACAAGACACCTTCTAAATCCAAAGACAAAAAAAAAAGTCTATTACTAATAGGAACCGTTTTTTCATATGAATACAAAAACTTGCATAATAGATATTCACAGTGCTTGTAAGATATTAATTCATTCTCAGTCTACACACCAAAGTGTCCGGTCTCCCCTTCATATGCATATGTAACAGAAGAGTACTGGAGGGAGCTGCATAGACCACTGAGAGAAGACTGTCAGACCTGGAGAGTTTGCCTTCCCCACCAGCCATGAATAAATACAAGAAACCCCCATGTACATGCAAGGCAATGGATGCTCATGCAAGAGCCAATTACATTGTTTTTCAGGCTTTGGTGTATTTTTTAAGCCAGCGACAGCAGGATTACAGCATTTCTACCAATTCCATTGAATGCTTGGTAACTGCAAAAAGAAAATACCAAGCTGCTTGGTGGCAATAAACTCTTCATTAAGGTGGTTAGGCTGAAGCAGGTATGGATGCAACTGTCTTTGAGACAAGCATGCACAGGTGTGAGCACGTGGTGCACACACGTGTTTTATGACACCTTTCCAAACAACTATACCCACTGAATTTTGAGCTTTTTTCCTGTTAATTGCCAGAATCATGAGTAACTGTACATCCGAACGTGTGCAGAACAACAATTTAGCAGGGCTGTCACTCCAGACCCCCCCACCTTTTCCATGGACAGACGGGCACCACCACAGTAAGAGCCGTCCCTCCATCTCCATGGTGGCTGCAAAAACAAGGCTGCTCCCCGCAGCACGGCCACTGGCCTCCTGGATCCTGGCCATGCCTGTCTCCCACGGCTTACGGCCAAGCAGGCCCCAGGTTAACAGAGACAGACCAACAGCGGGAGGCTCGACTAGACTGTTCACGAGCAGCCACTTAGATCCATTTAGGAGAGTTTATTTTGGATGCAGTAAACATACCTCAAGTACCCTGTAAAGGCATTTTGGCTTTGCTTGGAAGAAGGGAAAAGAGGCTACGGTGAACACACAGCTCCTTGTTGTTTATTACAAACACAAAGAACAGTGTGATCAAACAGGGCACGATCAATTAAGCCGTGGCTAACAGTGAGCTTGTGCCCATCATTCATTCCTCAAACACACAGCTAGGGTTTGGTGCTGGATTCATCTCAGAGGATCTACAGCCACTGATGCCACTTCGTAAATGCAGATGCGCCCAGATGCTCTGTCTCTACGCCACACTCACTTGCATAGAAACAGTGAGATGTCAGACTTCACGGATTTGCTATTTTAAGTTTACACGGGAATGCAATTTACCAGACAACTGCTAAGCCTGCAAGCCCACCGTCAAAGCAGCAGCTCGAACCCTCATTGTTGTGGTCTGGCTTCTTTCCTTTCCTGAATTCGGCTGTCTTCAGCTTTTGAGTGATCAACACTGCGCAACACACACTTCCTCAACCAGCAGAATAGCATCAGTCTGCTGCTAGAGTTTGCCAAAAAAAATGATTAGCTTCCACCTGCAAAGTTGTCAAAAGCTGGGCACAGGTTACAGGTGCCTGTCAATGGCTTCCCAAATGCTGGGAGTTGATGAGGGGAGGAGGTATTGGGGGAAGATAGGGAAGGAAATCAAACAAACATACATTTATTTGGATGTAACAAGGTAGCAGGATGTTTTCCACACCAAATGCTTGAATCAAACAGCGTAATTATCATTATTTTCCTAGTGAGGGCCAGCACAGCCACCTCCACCACTCAAAACCACCAAACAAGTACCCTTGGTTTGGCACACACCCTACGCTTCCACCATCACCAGCCCTGCAGGATCACACACTCACATTTGCATGACCTATCCATGACTAAGTTGGACACAGTCACTCTGTCTGATCTTCCAAAGTGACTTTCTCCAGCCCACACTTGCCTCCTAAGCAGAGGAAAAATTTCTAAGGAACAGATTTCTTAAAAACAAAGAAAAGAACAACATAAAAGTATGATTCAAAGGTAAGGGGTGATCATGCCTGGACAAATTCTCCAGTCACACTCCTGTCTTCAAGAGCCAGTCAATTAACGCTCTTAACTTGTCTTCTGTACTTTCAGAAGCAGCCAAGTCATTTGTTTTATCCCCTCCCCCATCTCCCCAAGGATATAACCATTTATTTACCAATCTGCATCATGGCAGTAGTAGACAGCTGAGAGACAGTTCCATTTGTTGCATTAAAAACAAGAAAAAAGAAGAATGCACATTGTATTTGGCTGGATGCTTACAACAAAACAAGACAACAACAAAAAAAAGAGAAAAAAACTCCTGGCAGAGCAGGTCCTGCTCCCAGTAAAGCAAATAGGCAACTTGTGTTCATTACAACAGGAACAAACTAGACACTTCGATACACAAACCTCCAAATGTGCTCAGACCATATCCTGGCCTGACAGCTGTTGGCAGTGTTGCAGCAGCACAAACTCAAGACAACCAAACTATTTGTACACTAGCATTAACATAAATGGACCACAAGAGAAAGGCAGGAAAAACTGACATAGACTTCAAATTTCTTTCTGATAAATCCATTTAGACACAGTGTCTGCTTTACTAGCTCAGCGTCAGTTTTGGTCCACTGTTTTTGGTTTTTATGTTGGTTGTGTCACTGCTAATGGTGCAGGCCACTTCCATTTTCTGCTCAGACAGACACTTCAAACGCCAACGTTAAGTGCTACGCTCCAGTTTATTTGCCCTGTAGTCAGGTCTGCAGAAGTGATGCCACTTACTGATTATGGAGCTGAGTAACAAAGCCGCTCACAATCTCCTGCAAGAACCAGAGTGACATCACATGTGTTAATGAGGTATATATTTCCATGATGAGCTGTTTCCTGGTATGGAAGAGCTCCAATCTCATTACACCACAAACTCCTCCGGCAGCTGGTCCTCTCCCAGAAGATCCAAGGAGAGGCAGTTCATGGATCGCTTCCCATAAAGGGCAGACTTGGTTTTGCAGTCCACTGTGGAATAAACGCAGCCATAGATAGACAGCTTATCCTCCAGGCTGCAGCCAAACGTGTAGCTGTGGGATGTGTCCGAAGACAGTGTGGCACTTAGTGGTGGGTGCCGGTGCTTGTAAAGGCGGATGTCGTCCAAACTCTGGCTGTGCTGGTCCGTGCAGCTCCTGCTTTTGGGTGATCTGACCTGCCAGTTCAGTAAGACACACAGGAATAAAAATGATGAGCTCAGACACAGCCTAAGGATGCTGGCTATGCATGCTACAAGTTTTCCAAAATTGTTCTTCCGCTCCTTCAAAACAGCCCCACCAGCCTTCTGAAGGATGTTGGCTTAATGAAGAAGCTGTGAACCATTAAGAAATTACAAGCCCTGCCATGTTGAGCCAGATCCTGATCTCTCTGCACTGTGTCCTCAGTGTCCAGTACAATGCACAAAACACTTGACAGGTACTGACACCTGAATGACCTGACACTTCTTGGCAGATCCATGCAATCATCCTCAAACAGACAAAGTGCACATAACAAAAGATTACCCCGACTGCTTGAACGCACTGAGTTAGTGAAAGTCTAATGAGCTGAAAGGAAGGTTCAGAAGGCAACCACGCAAACTAATAGGTTATGCTGTCCAAAATTCACTAAATGCAACATACAGTTTCATCTACGTAACATTGTTCAGCAATGAAGAAAACAGAAGCAATAAACCAGCAGTAATTCCCAGAGGCAGCATTTTGCTACACAAGCTGTAGCGACTTGGCCTCTGTGGAGGAATTACTGACCATCCAAGACTTTCCTACCTGTTTTTTCTTACCCTGTCTCTTCATAATCAGCTTTTAAATGCTAATATTAAGGCTGATTTCAGGAATATCACTTTTAAACCGAGTCACTTCTGCTGGCAACACAGAAAACTTCCTCCCAGTATCACTTCTCTCACCTCCATGGGATGGGAATTAAACAACTACCCTGAGGAAACTCTGCGCTGGCTCAGCTGCACTCCCAGAAACAGGCACACATGGTACAGTCTGGTCAACGTTAAGGAAACCCAGTCCTGCAGCATTTAATTACATGGCCTTGGAAGGAAGGTGGTATTTTTTTTTCAAAGATGCATCAAATACTTGATGCCTAGAAGTGGCAGCCAGGGCTTTGCAATTGCCTAAACAGTCCTGTGTTGATCAGGAACGTTCTTATAAAACAGATGCCTGCCCACTCCCTGCCTTGCACTCTTAAGTCATTCCACTCAAATATAGGAGTAAGTTCATTATGATTTGTACTGCACGGTCTTCAGCTTTGGAAAAAATAAGCAAGATTTGATTTAAATCTCCTATAGCACTTTACGGACTATTTTGCTGGTAAGTGAAAATTTCTTATCTCTTTTGACTGGTCCAGGAAGAAGCATAAAGAGAGAAAAAAGTTCTAAGAAATGACTGAATTCCTTGTTCAGAAAAGTTCAGGGAGTAAAGGGGAAAACGATGAACGGATTTTTAAAATTCTTTTAGCAGATAAGGCTAATTTGCATTCAGAGAGAAGAAATGAGGGAGGCTTGTTTGTTTGTTTAAAAAAACCACACAGCATTTCTACCCCAGTAGGTATAGCTATACTTTGAAAAGAAATATTGTTTGGCCTTAAAAAGACATTTTAATAAGCTTTTTCCAAGCACAACTTATAATATGACATATTTTACCAAATATAGTTGCCTTTTCTCAAGGGTTTGATGAAAATGTTGACAACAAAGACTTCAGCACACACATAGTATAATCACATAAATGATAGTAATTAGAGCTTAAGGATCTGGTTTTGCTCTGATGTGAGCTCCTTCTGGCTTCAGGAGCAGGAAGATGATCAAGTTTGCAACCCACATCCAAACTGCATGGATGGTCTTGGCTCTATATTGCACTGAAAATTTGCAAGCGGTTTATTTTCCATTTCCCGTCTGGAAGCCTAAGGCAGACGATAGCTGGCTTGCAAGACTTCCATGCAGATTGCTCCAAACCGCTCTCTACTATTCTGGACCCAAACACTGCTCTCATCCTATTCCTGATAGCAGTAGCTGGCCAACAGCTGTTTTTGGTTACACCATTTAAAATCAGTCAAATCAAGACCAATCAAGTTCACGTGATTTACAGCTGTCTCCATTACACTAGACCTTGGTTCAGTGCCCACACACAGACCCTCCTGCCGAGCACCCCGCCTTACCTGCTGAAGGGATTCCACACTTTGACCTCTCATTTTTATTAGCGTGACTTGCACCACAGACAGCGATTCACGATTTATAGCTGCAAAGGAGAAGGAAGAAGTGAAAAACGTTGCAGGTTTGAGGTTTTGTGAGCTGGGGAAAAGGGAAGTTGTTCTCACAGGTCACATTCAAGCAGTGCTATCCTATAAATCTAAGTATACATCAGTAAGCACCGTCAATGCTCTGGGACTTTTGCTCACAAGTACTCCTTTTTGCCCCTAAGGATCAATGTTTAAAAACTCTCAAGAAAACAGCTTCTCACCAACTTGTCCCATATTCACTCATCTTGCTTTGCTATAAAGGCTGTATGTCTTAAGGCCAGTCAGCTCCTGCGTGACCCTATTGCCTAGCATTCCCTGTATCACAAGCCACAAAACTTTACCTATTAATTCCTGCGACTAGTCCATTAATCTGTAGTTGAACCCCTTGGCTATTTTGTGGCATACAAGATTTTAAAGCAAATTCCTTCATTACAAAAGGTTTACCTCAGTTATCTTTTTGTCATTAACTGAGTATAACCTTGGCAAATTTGGAGTCGGGACACCTTGAGGAGCAGAGAGGAGAGCAGCACTGTACAATACAGGGTGCTGGCCTTTAACCTCTAGATGAGCTGACTTCAAATCCTGTGGCAGTAAGTAGCACTGGCAGCTGCTTGGAAGAAGATACAGCTTTCTTAGATCCCTCAGATTATGCCTGGCTTGCCAAACATATCTTCCTGTTGCTAGAGCCTAAAGAAAAGCACTGAGCAGTAGCAGAAAGCCATCTCACCTTGGCAGCCAGCAGCATCTAGAGGAAGAGGTTCAACAGATTCTCCCACAGTGGCCTCCTCTAACTGGTCTCCCTCTAAAGGCTCATCTACAGGCACCTCCTCTGGCTCATCTACTGCCAGCTCAAGCTCTAGGAGGAAGACAGCGGCAGAAGAAGGGTTAGCATTACACTTCTGCTCCAAGCTGCTTCGCATTCTCTTACTCCCCATTCTCCTGCAGGAGAAGGGAAGATCGGGCTTAGAAGTTGCTCCGCATCTCCAAATTCTTTACCGTCGTCCTGAGAGTCGTCTTCAGCCCGCCCTTTGCTGCCACTGTCAATGCCAGAGCTACCGTAGCTGATGGTTGAGCTGCAGGATTTCTCTTTCCTATGCACCCGGTCAATGCTGAAGGGCTCATCCACTGACATTTCCACCGACACCCGGTGCCTGGAGTCGGGCTTAGAAGTTGCTCCGCATCTCCAAATTCTTTACCGTCGTCCTGAGAGTCGTCTTCAGCCCGCCCTTTGCTGCCACTGTCAATGCCAGAGCTACCGTAGCTGATGGTTGAGCTGCAGGATTTCTCTTTCCTATGCACCCGGTCAATGCTGAAGGGCTCATCCACTGACATTTCCACCGACACCCGGTGCCTGGAGTCAGCCTCAATACCCGACGTGTGAGAGCT